CTTGCTCTTTCTGACTCAGATAATTTTCTAAGGATGAACAATACCACTTAAGGGTATCAGAAAGGAATGCAGTGATTCCCAGATAAGCTTTTTACTTGGTGCTTCTTGTTATCTGCCCACATGGTGTTCAGGAACTCATTACATCTGACCCATGATATAAATGATAGAGACAATAAGAGGGTAAATGCAACTGAGCTGTTAAAAAGTGAAGATTATTGCTGCCCTTTCATTCTGTCAATTGCACCAGAATGTATATGTGAAACGAGTCAGTGAGAGATCTTGACAGCTGTAATTATGGATTTTCACTTTTATCCTAAATAACTGGTGATCTTTCATGTCTTTCAATTTATATTGAAACAAATATTTCTTAGTGAAAGCAAATCTTGCTTTTTTATTTAAAGGAGTCTCTTCCTTTAATTTTTTTCTAAGAAAAATAAAAAAGCAAGAAAAATCATTTTTATGAAGTATAAATGAGTGTATTTGCTCTGGGAGCAATAACTTTTGTTTCTAATTAGTAAATGTGTGGGGTTGACAATGTAGAAAAATGTGCAGGATTTAAAAAATAAATAATAAGATGTTGGATTTAGTACTTCTTATAACTTAGTTGAGAAAATGTGATGCATTTAATGTTATTCTTTATTGTTTCAACTAGTTGGTCTCAGTCAAGGTTGATTTTGCCCCCCCCAGGGGTATTTGATAATTCCTACAGACGTTTTTGGTTGTCACAACTGGGCAGAGGAGGACAATGCTGGCATCTAGTCAACAGAGGTCGGGGATGCTGCTAAACTTCCTAGAATGCACAACAAATAATTCTTTAGGCCAAAATGTCAACAGTGCTGAGGTTGAGAAGTCCTGATTTAGATAATCAAAGTAACCAAAGACTATTTGATGTAAGACTAAGGTCCAACAAGACAATTAAGGTTCCTTTGCCTCAGAGAGGAATCAGGGTTTAAAGGCTACAAAGCCATCCTCCAGAAAAGTCAGCTTGCTTAATTAATGGTACTTGCTGCCTGGTGGATGTAGACCTTGACATGGATTTAACCTATGGAAAAGGACTATGGACCTATAAAAGAGCTATAAGAACTGTATTTACTTTAAGGAAAGATAAGTCTCTATCCATGCAACAAGTACAGAATTTTTCTAACTCTCATGTCACAAAAAGTATATTGTATTTATTTGGGGGTAGCTGAGAATAATGTTGACTCTGCTTGTTCCTTCAGTTCCTTGGGAGAGAGACCAACACTGGGAGTAAACTTGGCAAAGCCTAAAGTCAAGAGCTATATATAGTCCAGCTGCTATGAATAGAGAGTGAGCAACTTATACCAAAAAATCCATAATGATGTGATTTGAATAATGTTTTTGAAATGCATTTGCATTTTGTGAGTATTTGCAGTTTTTGCTGCATACTTAATCTACCTGTAATGCATAGACTTTAATTAACATTTCTCTAAATACTTTAGTATTTGTATTTCAGTTGCATCCTATGTTTTAGTACATGTACCTATAAATATCATCTTAGAGGTGGATTCTATGGAACAAGATACAATCTAATTTGATGTATTGAGTTTTTCCAGTGGGTAATATAAAACAACAGAATCACAGCTTGGTGGTATGATGAAGAGGAGAAATACATTTGAAGCTGGGATTGAATATATTAAGGCCAACAGTAAAGGCAGCTAAAGATGAGAGAAACAAAAGAAGTTTTTGGCAATGGTATGGTGTTTGAATGGCTGTCCTAATGCCACTGTGAAATGCTATGGTTCCAGTATTCATTGGGGGGGGGCACAGAGAGAAAGCACAGGGGAGAGAAGAAGGACTAAGAAAGGGGTAAAAAGGAAGTAAAGGGTAAGGCATTTACACTGGAAGATACAGATAGATAAGAAGGCTTTCACTGAATTTTTTCCAATGTACAATGACTCTAACCTCAAAGCAAAAATGAATATCTGAGGTTACATACCTTAATCCTTTCTTTATTAAATACTGTCTGCTTACTTCTCACTGGTTCTTTCAGTAGGTCGACGCAATCATCGTGGAAGTCTTCCATATTCAGATTCATCTTCACAACATCTCCCTGCTGTACAAAGTGATGGTTAGTGAGAGCTTGGGCCAGGAAAGTTGCAGGAACAATGCCACACAGTAACCACTTGGGAAAAAACATAGGCCATTTGCAATCCATCAGTAAATGTATTCCACAAGAGATGGACACACTCCCGTGATGTGATTTATAAAGCTATCCCTTCAAGCTTATGGCTCCCTTCCCACCTCATTCCTTTGATAAAGTTCATTTTCAGAAAAAAACTGGTTGTTCAAAGGCCCAGCAGGAAAAAAAGTCACCGTTACAATAGAATACACCTACAGGAACATCCTCTAGAGAGAAAAATCATTGTGTGTGGCAGTTTAAACCACTGGGAGAGTCTGGGGGGCAGCAATGAGGTAGAAATGGCTGAAGATCCTGATGGAGAACAAAATAGGAAATCCAAAGAATTTACATCAGCAAAATGTTTGGGAGATTCAAAGGAAGGAAAAGAGGAAGGAAATATCACTGAGTATAGGCAAAGAAAAAAATAACTGAGAACAATGATGCTTTGCGGGGGATGGTATTTTGCCCTTGCAGTTCATGGGCTCCATTTTAGTCATGGAAGGACAGGGGGTTTGCAAACTGCTGTGAAGCCAGTGTGAGAGCTGCAGAGACTCTGTGAAGATTAAGGGAGCCACAGGCACACCAAGTGACAGGACACCAGTTAGGATGAGGTTATACTGCAACAGAAGATGCTCTGTACCACCTGGAACATGGGCATCAGATGGGTCTTAAGAGAAATAGGCATGCTTTTCAAATGCATATGTTACACCAACCTGGAGGATTTGGGGAGACCTTTACTAGGGAGATTCAGCTTTTACTCTCAACTCTAAAACTTAAACTGGTTTGTATCACTGGATAAGTTATTCTGCTTTAGTACACACCTGATCGCTAATTCTGAAGTGGCAGTGGTGGAAGGAGTACTCGATTTTGAGTTCTATCTGAGTTCACATTCTGGATCCACCACTACTGAGTGTGGGGCTCTAAGCAGAGCTCTTTGAACTTCAGTCTAAAACAAAGAAAACAACGTCTGCCTTATGTCCCTCATAAGGCTGTTTGGAAATTATGGAAGTAATATTTATCAAAATCCTTTGTAAATCTCAAACTGCTATACAAATAGAAAGGATTATTTTCACTATTTCAACCTTGACAGGGATTTCTGGGCCTCCTTTTCAATAACCTCCACAAGAGAGAGTCATAGTATCAACTCTACAAACATGAAAACTAGGCATTTATGCTCGCATGCTAACATCTGTAAAGTGCTAGTAAGCGTTCTTTGACAGCCTTTTGTTCAGGCTGTAACTTGTAGCGCGATGCTGATGCCTATTTTTCTTGCCAGAGAGGCCCTTCCTCATTTTTGTATCCACCCACATCAAGACTTTTTGAGCTATTGAATGATTCTTTTCTGTGCCAAGCCCTTGAGCTTTTACTACAAAAGCCAAAACACCTTCTGGAGAACCTGTTTTAGGATAAGCGTAGCGTTAAGTGCTGTGTGAGACTCTAAACTGAAAGGGGTTTCCTCAAGTATGATCAAGTAGAGAGGCTGAGATGGCAGTGATGGTTATATGCGATGACTGGTAGGAAGGAACACAGATGCTTTGGGAGGTCAGAGGGGGAGTGATACAGCCGAGGAAAGAGTTGTGGAGAAGGCAGTATTTGTGTTTCGCTTTGAGGGATGAATAATTTAGATAAGAGAGATAGAAAGTCATGTACATGAAGTACAGTAGTCTGCCCTTATCTGCAGGGGATACGTTCCAAGACCCCCAGTGGATGCCTGAAACCGCAGATAGTACCAAAAACTTTATATATATGAACTATGTTTTTTCCTGTGCATACATACTTATGATAAAGTTTAATTTATAAACTAGGCATAGTAATAGATTAATGACAGTAACTAATAACAAATAGATTAGAGCAATTATAATTATAGCAATATACTGTGACAAAAGTTATGTGAAGGTGGTCTCTCACAATTTAAAACTTATGAATTGTTTATTCCTGGAATTTTCCATTTAATATTTTCAGATCAAAGTTGAGTGCATCTAAATGAAATCACAGAGAGCAAAACTGCAGATAAGTGGTGACTACTGTAAAAATTTAGAAGCAGGAAACTTAGGAATGTAGGGGGTAGACCAGTGAGACAGGAAGCTACAATGAATGCAGAATCACAGTGATTTGGAAAGACCATCAGCCTCAGAACACTGGAAGGCCTTGAGTCTGAACTTGACTCGGTAAGCAAGGAAGAGTTTGTAGTGAAGTACTTTCAGTGTAAAAAATGACACTAGCAGAACTATATTCAGAAAGGGGCATCTAGCTAGAGTGAATAATTAGGAGGCTCCTGACTACAGGAAAAGAGAATCCAAGTAACAGATAGGGGATGAGAAAGAGAGGGTGCACTCCTGACTCAGGGAGTGCAGAAGTATCGGAGAAAGAGGACGTGGAGAGAGGGGGTAGAAACAACTTTCAGGAACAGTAGCCATGAAGGTGAAAAGCTGGAAAGGGATATAACCTTAAGGGAATAGGTTTTATTAAATGGAAGTGATGTTATACGCAACAGCATAGAGTCAGAAGTAGCAGCGATTTTCAGGCTGTGTATCAGACAGAAGTCAGGGGAAGAAACAGATCCTCAGTGGGTGGGGTGAAGGTGGGGAGGAAATGACAAATGTTGAAAAAGATAATATAAATTATATGGTACATTCATACATTACTGGTGGCACTATAATTGTAAAAAAAAATAGAAAGCAAAATATATATATAAACATTGAAAATTTTATAACCATTTACCCAAATCTGCCCTGGAGAATTTTTGTGTAGGTAATAATACGAAAGAAAGATAAAAGCTTTCATGTACAAAGATGTTCACCACAGTGTTATGTAAAATGGTAAAAAGTTGAAAAATCTAGATTCTCAACCAAAGGAAAAAGATAATTTGACTGGGCACCCACTGAATCGAAAGCTTAGCAAACTAATTTGAATGGGATGGTATTCAAATTTATGACATGGAAATTTACACAGAAAAAATGGTTGCTAGAACAGATATAATTCTGCTTTGAACTGCAAGAGCACAGTTATATCTCGATAACAACAGCAATTACGAGAATAATCACAGGTGTCTTCACGTTCAGTCCTCAAGGGTACTCTGTGATAAGACTCCTCTATGTCCATTCTATGGATCAGGAAACTGAGATTCTGGGCCATTAAGGAATTTCCCCCAAATCACAAATCCAATTATCTGGAGAGCTGGCATTCCTGGGGGGCTGCGTTTTACCCTAGAGCCTGTGCGCTTAGCAACCTTGCCATTGTCTTCATCTTAAATAACTCTGGTTCTTTCAGCCAGCTGCAAAAACAGCACCAATGAAACCATTTTTTGACATGATAGAGACAAAATAATTTATGTGTACATTTCTCTCTTTTAACTGGATTTTACCTAGGTAGAGTCATAAACACATTTCCTCTGTATTTTTTACCATCAATTTTTTATTCCATGAAAGATGCTAATGATTATTTTAATATTTTCATGAAGCTAGATGTTCAATGAGTATAAAACCTGAATATTAGTTTTATTTTCTCTGGGGCCACAATTTGGAGGGAAAAAAACCACCTGTGTTCATTATTTATGAATGAAAACGTAAGGTTACTTAATACAGACTTGATTTTGATTTTACTAGCACACATTTATTCTTTAAGTTGTGATCCATGAAAATGTAAATGAGACACCTTAATTTTATTTGGCCCTCATTCTCAGCAATATTTTTCTCTGCCATGATAGAAAAGAAACAGAATTATCAGAAACACCCAGATAATTATGTTAGAAAGCTGTGAGACAAATGTGCACATTGTCCCTTGAGAAGTTTCATTAGAACATCTTTGCACCAGAAGACACTTGCTCAACACATTTTTATTTATACCACTTAAAAATACAGATTCTGGTAAGAAGAAATTACCTTCAGCTTTTCCTCCAGCTCTGTGAGAGAGCTACATAATTCAGTAACAGATTCAAGGACCTCCTTGTGTTTGGCCACTATTTTCTCAGCACATTTCTGTCCTTCCTCAAAACCTGAGGAGAAGGGATAAAACTATATTTAAAAGTAAAATCCTTAGCAGGAAAGAAAAAATCCCAGGCAAGAACTTATCTTCCCAGAGTCCAGTTGTAAGGGCTGGTAGATAGTAAATGCTTAATAAAGACTTGCTGAACAGATAAATAAATACATACATATATACATACATACATAAAGCCATTTTTGAAAAAACAAGTATTCTAGAAAAATTGTCACATTTGCTGTGCCATGTTACTTTTATGTAACCCAAATAGTGTTGCCATATGAATATTCTTAAAACTCCATTCTGATCAGTTCTCTTCTTTTCAGAACATTCAGTGGTTCTTCACTACATAGAAAAGCCTACATTCAAGGCTCCCCATAATATGGTTTCAACCTGCCTCTCTCAAAGGTATGTCACCCTAACTCTCTCACCTATTTCATCTCTGGCCAAACAACCAGCAAGTCTTCCCCACAGCCACTGAGTATTCTTTCCTGTACTGGGAGGGCCCTCCCCCGCCTCCCTATTTCTGCTTGACAAATCCTACTCACTCTTCAAGGTCTACCTCAAATGCCGACATCTTTGTGAAAGTTTTCTGAACCTTTCCCAACTGGATTTTACCTCTCCTTATTGGAATGATATTACAAAGACCTAGCATGGGGCGAGTGCTTATTATTGCCTGTGGCTCAGTACATTATATGCATTAGTTAACATAATCCTCCTCTGATAGGTTCTATTGCATTTCCTAGTGAGGAAACTGAAGCACAAAGGAATCTCCTCAGGTGACCCAGACAATGACTGGAGGAGCAGAAATTTAAACCTGGACTACTGGACTCCACAGTTTAGGCTAAACTAGTATTGTACATTGTTATGGGCTGAAATGTGTCCCTCCTAAAATTAATATGCTGAAGCCCCAATTCCCAGTATCTCAGAATATCACCATATTTGGAGACTAGGTCTTTAAAAGGTGATTAAATTAAAAAGAGGCTATTAGGGTGGGGCCCCAAACCAATATGATGATGTCTGTATATGAAGAGGGAGAGACACTGGGGAAATAGGGGTTCTTGTGCACAGAGGGACGTCCATGTGAAAAAGGCAGCAAGAGGAGAGAAGCCCCAGCGGAAATCAACTCTATTAGCGCCTTGATCTTAGACGTCCAGCCTCCAGAACTGTGAGGAAATAAATTTATGGTGTTTAAGCCATGCAGTCTATGG